TTCTCTAATGTCCCGTGATGATGAGCATTTTTGCTATGTTTGTTGGCTTCATAAATGTCTTCTTTTGAACAGTGTCTGTTTATATCTTTTGGCCACTTTTGAATGAGGTTGTTTGTTTTTTTCTTGTAAATATGCTTTAGTTCTTTGTAGATTCTGGGTATTAGCTCTTTTTCAGATGGGCAGATTGCAAAAAATTTTCCCATTCCATTGGTTGCCTGTTTACTCTGATGATTGTTTCTTTTGCTGTGCAGAAACTCTTAAGTTTAATTAGATCCCATTTGTCTATTTTGGCTTTTGTGGTCATTGTTTTTTGTGTTTTAGTCCTGAATTCCTTGCCTATGCCTATGTCCTGAATGGTTTTGCCTAGAATAGATGCAATAAAAAATGATAAAAATGATACACCTCCGATTCCACAGAAATACAAACTACCATCAGAGATTACTGCAAACAAATCTATGCACATAAACCAGTAAACCTGGAAAAAATGGATAAATTCCTGGACACTTACACCCTCCCAAGACTAAACCAGGAAGAAGTTGAATCCCTGAATAGACCAATAACAAGGTGTGAAGTTGAGGCAGCAATTAATAGCCTACCAACCAAAAAAGTCCAGGTCCAGACGGGTTTACAGCCGAATTCTACCACATGTACAAAGAGGGGCTGGTACCATTCCTACTGAAATTATTCCAAATGTTACAAAAAGAGGGAATCCTCCCTAACTCATTTTATGAGACCAACATCTTCCTAGCATATTTTATGTTCCTATATATTTAATTTATTCTATAATATTTAACTGTTTATTTTTTATTCAAAATGTTGGACTTGCTGATGGCCAAGTCCAACAAGTCTACGTATTTCTAGTCACATTCCCTTGCCTATCATTTATTAATTTATTTAACAAATATTTATTGAGCACATACTATCATGTATTATTCTTTGTGCTTAGGGTAAATCTGTAGAAAACAAAGTCACTGTCCTTCATATGGCTTAGCAAATCAGTATTACAGTTTTAGGAAATCAGTATTCATTAAAAAATATTATTGAATTAAATGAAATGTGGGCCTTCAACCTGTAGTATTAGCCACTAAACAATGAATTAAACTGAAGAAAGCTCCAACTGTACCTCACCTCTTTCTTTGCCTTCTTAGCCACATTGGCCTCAAGTATCCGCTCACTGTCATCAGTGTACCAAGCATGTTCTTCCACACCACATCTCCTTCCCATCCCTGCACTCAGCCTCCAGCTATCCTCGGTTAAGTCTTTCTCATCTGCATCTATTTCCCCTAGTATATTTCTTTATAAGATCATGCTTACCTGCTTTGGAATAATTATTACAATTCTACTTTTACAGTTATTTATTTTAATGTTTTGGTCAATATCTATTGGTCCCACTAAATCATAAGGTCCACGAGTAAATGTTTTATGTCTGCTTCCATTTGCAACATTACACTACCATACTTAGTGCATCTAGTAAATGGTTAACATATATTTGTTAAGGAGATATGTAAATTCCTGAACAACCAGAACAATGTAAGTGTCACACATGGCTAGATTTCAGCTCGAGCTAAAACTTTTCTTCTGTCTCTACTCAGAAGTAGAGGCCATATGACAGAAAAGATAAATGATAAAAGACAAATGATAAAATATTATAGAATGATAAAATATATGATCTTATGCTGACTTAAGCAGAGTATTCTTTTTAATACAGTGATTAACACCGTAGTCTCTTAAAAACAGTTAATACTTGTTCTAAATAAACATTAAAACCTATTTTTTATATGTGCTTATGTGGTTAGAAGTTAACATTCTATCAGGTCATTCAAATGTTAAATTATCTAACCTTCCAAAATACCACGTTTCTCTTTGCCTTGAACAAGAGTGGGAAATAAGGCAAACTCCATCAGACATTAATATCCTTGATGTATATTGTACTTATGGGCTGTTATACCCATGAATACTTTAGAGTTTTACTTTGATTGAAGACTTGAGAATCAAAAGCCAAGTTTATCAGTAGCATGAAATACATTTACAATAGAATATAAGAAATAATTGATATATACTATATATAGGTATATATTTATGACAAAATTTATTGTAATTAAGTGAAAGAAGAATTTTGAAATGTTTGCCTACTTGGACACTGATAAATTAAAAGAGCATCTAATTATGATATAACTTATTTATACCTTTACTGACTCTCATACTTATTCATTTCTTACACCCTTTTGTTTTCAGGTGGACATTCCTCTCCCTTAATTTTTCTGTTCAACATGTGTAACAGATGTCTTATTTCTACCTGCCTCCACCTGTGCATCCCATCACTATTCTCTCTCAGCATCCCTCTTTACTCCCTGCTTTACTTTGTTTTCTCACTAAGAATTCCTATTGGGTTCCCCTTTCTTTCTACTACAATTACTTTCATTTTGGGGGAACTAAAGTTGTATATAAATCTAAAATAGTTGTTTATTCATCCATGTGTTTTAAAAACTGTCTTTCCTTGAGCAAGCAATTGCCTTTTGAGCTTTCATACTTGTCACCCTTAGGCTTTGTTTTTTAATTACCTTCTATGAAAGTACTAAGCGTACAGTGTTACAGACAGTATGAGGGCTCTGAAGACAGACTGAGGTGGAGTATGCCTCACCACTCACCAGTGCATTTAATTACATCTAGACAGATTATTTTATGTGTTTAAGACAACCATCAAATGGGAAAACACCTACCCTAGAGAATTGTTGTGGATGTTAAATAATATGTCCTGTGTGCAGACCTTCATTTCTCACCCTACCACCTTTTCTATTTCCCATTTAATCTTTGGTACATATGCCTAGCCATATATGGTACACTTTCTACTTTGTTTGTTTCATTTTAAAAAAAAACCTGCTCTGTTGCATATTGATAAGTAACTGGGATTCTGTTAACTCTACTTATGTTATTTTCAATGTTCTTTATCTCTTCAGTCCACACTGTGAAGATTGATGTCGACTATTGTTACTGTATATTGCTAATTTCAGTTAGTTTAAAAGTTACTCGTTCCAAAGTCACACAGCTCCTATGTAAGAAGGTTGGGCAAGGCCTTCCTGACACCAAAGCTGCAGCTCCTGTTGTAGCATTCTGGCATGTACCTTGAGAAATACAAGGGATTAGAGTGGTGAAAGTGTTAATTCTCAGTAGACAAGAAAGGACAATGCACTTAACAGGGAAGGAAGTTGAATACCACACCTTATGGGAACATAGAGATATTCACACAATAACTTTTGAACATAGGTTGATGCAAAAGTAATTGTGATTTTTGCAGTTACTTTAATTGCAAAAACCACAGTTACTTTTGCATCAACCTAATACATATCTGCCCCTTTGGTGAAGCTGGTTGAAAGCATCCAAATGAATTAAACAGGAGCACAAAGAAAGAGAGCATGAGAAGGTGGCCAGAAAAGCTCCGAAGTGTATCCGTCTATGAACTGTAGGTGGTCCATAAAGTGCAAAGCTTATGAGAGGATCAGTAGGGTAGAGTCCAGTGGGAAAGAAAAGGAAAAATGCCACAAAAACAATTGGTTTCACAACTATTTCCACAGATCACCAGTACAGTTTCTTCACTGGTGGCATTCCTGTTGGTATTGTTAAAGCAGATAGCCGACAGATATTTAAGAAAGCAGGTATTTTCATTAAAGATAAATTTATTTTATTTAAAACTAGATAAGGCTTAGCTTTTGGGTTCTTGAAAGTAGAGTGAGGTGGAGGATGGAGTATGCCTCACCCCTAGTTACTGCAGTTAAGTTCACTGCAGTTAAGGACCTTGACCTGTCCTTTTTGGTTTTATATATTTACTTTCAAAAGTATTTCTAATGCCAAAGTAAAAAGTTCACCAGATACTTTAAATAAAAATATTTTATATCCCCTTTTAAAAATATGATGACAATAATGTACCTTAAATGATAATCTATGTATATCTTGGGCTCTTTATGCTTTCCAGAAAAAAATCTTAAGGTGATCCAATATAAATTGTTAAAAGGTATTTATAGACAAATAAAGATAATTCACTACTCTACGTATTTTTAAATTCCAAAATTCAAGAATACCCTTTTCACTTCATTGCAGTTTAATTAAAGTGGCCATGAAATCAAATGTATTCCCAATTCAAGGAACATGTGGTCACTCAGAGGCCAGGTCAGTTTCCTTATTTGTGTATACTAGTGAAAAAATGCACAGAATATATTGTTGGTTTAAGTCCCTGAAATAGCCAGGGTAATTGTTCTTATTTGCTTTACAGTGCAACCTCAGGCTTTAAGATTTATTAGTTTTGATATAGGAAGATAAATTCCTAACATTAAAAGGGTGATTCATTTCTTAAATTTATTTTTGACAGATACTGAAAATCTCACAGCTTGTATTCTTTCTGTAGGTAGAATGGATAAAGACCAAGTTCAGTATTTTATACATGAAAGTGGGACTCAATTTATTATAGAGAAGCTTTTAATCTTTGTAAATGGCCTGACATGCTGGATTTTATTTAACAGTTGACTTTCATAGAGAAGGAGCAGGCATTTCTTCAAAGAACCTGACCGAATGCTGTAATCCATTTCTTTCTGAAATTGCAGTTGTTAAATTAGACACAAAATATTTATGAATGTCAAGTTGCCTTTCCAGCAATTAACGAGTTCAAAAAAAAAATCCCTTTGTGTTTTCTGGCTTTGAAATGATTATATTTATTATGAATTGGCCCTTCAGTTCCTTCTATCAAATACTTTGGAGGTTACGTTAAAGAGGGAGACATCAGTTCTGAACAGGTGTGGAAAAGGGTTCCTTGATGTATAAAAGTGTTCTATTTTAAAGCAATTTTAGCAATTTTAGCACATCTACTGCTGTGAATCCTCGTGGAAGTAGGTGGCCAATTCATTTCTCTTTAAAGGAAAGAAAACTCAGCATCCTAGGCCTAATTTTAACATGACGTGGGTCAGTGGGTGAATTTACTGAAACTTTCTCTTCCTGTCTCATTGTTTCAGTGTTGATCCTCCTGATTGTCACTATGAGAAGACGGAAAAAAGAGCCCCTTATTTTTGACGAAGAAAGAGACATCAGAGAAAACATTGTAAGATATGATGATGAGGGCGGGGGAGAGGAGGACACGGAAGCATTTGACATGGCTGCACTGAGAAACCTCAACGTCATCCGAGACACCAAGACCCGGAGGGATGTGACTCCAGAAATTCAGTTCCTGAGTCGACCAGCTTTTAAAAGCATCCCAGATAATGTCATCTTTAGGGAATTTATTTGGGAAAGACTAAAAGAAGCTGATGTTGATCCTGGTGCTCCTCCTTATGACTCTCTGCAGACATATGCCTTTGAAGGAAATGGCTCAGTTGCTGAATCACTCAGCTCTTTAGATTCTATCAGCTCAAACTCTGATCAGAACTATGACTACCTTAGTGACTGGGGACCTCGCTTTAAACGACTTGCGGACATGTATGGGACTGGCCAGGAGAGTTTGTACTCATAGCCTTGGAACCTTAATTTGAAATGTACTGAAGAAAAAGTAGCAGAAAAAAAAAACAACAAAAAACAGCAACAACAACAGCAGCAACACTACATACAGAAAACAAGAACTCCACTTGCTGGAGAAAGATGGTTGTAAATACTTCTCCATTTTTAATTGTTTAGGTTTCTGCCTTGGTGAGGCATATCTTCATTAGACTTCTCTAAGGGACTGCACTGACCACAGACTCTGAGCATTTGAAGGCTTTTTGATAAAAAGAAATGCTCAGTGGTTTGTGAATAGATAGCAACTCTCATATACCTGCAAAGGCACCAAACCTCTATGAGAAAGTAGTGCCCTGTGTCGTCAGTGAGTCAAAGATGCCCTGTACATACCTTCATGGTACTGTCATTGAGAGGAATAGAACATGATGAGCTATTGAAACACCCTGGAACTCCTTGCATATCAAAACTTGGGACAAATTTAATTTACAGAGATGCTTATAGCTTACTATATTACAGAATCCAGCAGAATTCTATTGCTCTTGATTAGCAGAAATATTTTATTTAGCAATATGTAAATTCTCAGAAATTCCTTCCTAACTGAAAACCCTACCACAAAAGCTGATAAAATTTGGTTTAAGGCAACATAAACCATTGTTTATCCAATAAATTATGAAGTGTTCCAAATAAGAGAAAGGTAAATAATTTTTAAAGTTTGTGATTGTTTTGAGATGCTTGAGTAGGTATGATAAAAAAAAAAGTTGCTGTCTATTCATTGATTTTTATTATCTCTTCTGATTTGTACAGGAGAATATCTTTTCTTTTTCATTTGACACATGGTGTTGTATTTATTTCGGAGCTCCAATCTCCACTAAATTCAGGTCCATCATACTGCCTCATAGTATTAAACTCATCAGAACATGCTGATTTTTCTCCAGCCCAAGCTACATGAAGGAAATGAAGCATGGAAATGGAGAAATAATAGTAAAGCAATCGAGCCCTGTTGCAGTTCACATCTCAAAGAGGAGCACAGCTACAAGGACATATAAATTGTTCCTCTGAGCCATTAGAATGTCAAAACATTGGAATAAAATATTTGTATTTTGGAAAGACTTCAGAGAAAATTGAGATTTTCTTTGATGCAAGAATTTTTTGTCAAGGTCATGAGTTCCACGTGCTCCAAAGACTTTCAAGAATCCGTTTTCCAGCCTTTCTTGCTGCAAACATATTGAGTAAAATATTGATTTTTAAAAAATCTTAAATAATATAATGTTATAAAGATTAAAACCTGTGTTTAAATTCTGATGCAAACATGTCCCTCGAGAATTAACCAAACAATGTATAATTTCTATGTGGTTTAAATGTGCCAAAGGAAGGAGGGTAATTGCCAAGTCGTCATGTGTTTAAATTTAAGATGAGCTGCTTAGAGTATGATTTTCATTACCAAAATAATATTGCTACCTATTATTTTTCCTAGATTAATACTAGTCTAATGTGCATATATATTCAAGTAAGAATGGATTTATTTTTTCCTTTTTTTCTCCTTTTAAAAATAATTCATTGTTGGGTTCCTAATAACAGTCAACACTGTGTAGAGAATCATGTTCTAAAAGTGCTTTTTGAAAGACAGACAGTGGAATTAGAATATTAATATGTTGATTACACAAAAAAGAACTATGTAGGATTCTGTAAACTTGCAGCCCAACTTTAGAAATGAAGTATGTAAAAGTGGCCTTCAGCTTCATCAAAATAAATAATTCAATAAATTTGATTATCTGCAAACAGTCCTTTAATTTGAATAAAGTTTTATAGACATTGTTTTATGACTATATAGATATGCTTCTTGCTGTATGAATATGCATATATATTAGAACTATATATAACAGAGTGAAAGACACTGTTCATAACTTTTAGTTACACATGCAGGTTTTTCAAATTAAAACAAAAAACAGTGTACTTAAACCCAGTTCAATAAAATCAGAGCGTGATACAGAAATTATATATATGTTAAATCAACAAGGCTCTGAGAAAACAGTTTGTAATAACTCTCCTGTTGTCTGCAAGAAGATAAAATAGTTTAGTACATTTGGATTATGTTCTCCAAACTGCTGGTTGTTGCATATCAGTAAATGGAGGTGTGGATGTATTTTAGAAAAGGAATGCACACACATCATTCACTCTGTTTTCTCTCCTTTTAAAACGTTTGTATTTTCTCACTAATTTTTTGTTAAATGTTTGCCAGTGATAGATTGGAAAAAGGAAGGTTGATATTTAAATAATAATTTAAAATTCTTGCATATACCCAATTGCTATTTATGTGTGTATGATTATATCAATAGAGTATAAATTTGATTCAGTGGTATTTTTTAAAATTAAAAAAAAATTTCTTGATATGGCTGGAAGAAGAATGTTCCTAATATAGGGAGGATTTATATGAAGTATTCTAAGATTAATTGTAATAGTGGTGAATTTTTTACTGTTGTTTATTTTAGTTTTATTTTTTCTTCTGAAATCTAATGCTATATATCATAGTATGACAATACTTGAAATGTAGGCTTTGTTTTAAAACAGACATTGAAGAGTTAATTGACAAAATCAATCTTAAATCTAGTTGGAAGAGTCTCCAAAAATCATTTAAATAAATATATATTAAGTTGCTTAAATTTAGTATTATTCTGAAACCAACTAGAATGAGCTCACAACAACTAATTATGCACATCTCTTCCCAACTCCAGGTGCAGTGATATCATTTTGGTTGGTTGATGTCAGCCATAGTGGGATTATTTAGACCACAACAGTAATCAGCACACACTACCATTTTCTCTGGAGAACAAGTTGTTAAACATTTACTAGCACTCTACAGCTTAAATTATTTTATAAAAGGAAATTTCATAATTGTAAATATAGTATGAATTTATATGATTTAAAATAATGACATGAAAGGAATTTATGCTATATTTTACTACTAAATATAAATGCATGTGGTAGTGATTTCCCGATGTGAAATCCTTGGAGCTACTTGTAAACAGGGAGAGGATTCACTTCATTATGGAAAGCAATGGCTTAGTTTCAAGTAGAGATAATAGTTCAGGAAGCCAATACGCTTAAATATTTTCCATTTGTCCGTACAGGAGTACCAATAGAAACTCAGGGCGTGCCACGTTATGCCCATTTTGAACAGTTTAATTTATTCAAAAATTAGATGCATTTCACTTGTTACTGTCTATGTCAAGGAAATATAGCCAAGCCCTTCATCTGAATTGTCATCATTGCATACTTTAAAATCAGCATAAAAATATAAAAATCAAATCTTATCAAGAAAATGGACTTTTGGAGATTAAGCCTAAATTATCAATCTCAATTCACAAATTAGTCTGAGAAATATTCTAAGATCAGCTAGCTAAAGAACAAAATCAGGAAAGAGACATCAAGGAAAAATAGGGTAGCACTGTGGAGGCAATAAGTAGATTTTTCTATAAGCAGTCACCAGATCTGGGAACTGGCAAATAGCTTTCTTTGCCAGAAAGCTCTGCTGATGACTGCAAATGAAGTTAGTTGTCTACAAAATACATGCAGGAAGTAATAGTGGTTAAGTGATGGTAGCTGCCTTTTCACTCTGCCCTCTGAGAATGTTTTAAATTATTTATCTTCATGCACAATTACATTTACAACATTGGAAGATAAGCAGACATAGGCAATTATTTTCATGTCAACTGCATAGTTATACAATGTAGATGTGACATTTGTAATATGATCCACGTGCCCAAGAAATGCAAATGCAAATAGTGTTAGCATTTATATTGAAATATAAAATGTAAAGGAGCCTAAAACAAAGTAAGCTAAACATACTACAAGAGGCTAAATGATTTAAACATGTTAAAGTTTTTAAGCACTAGCTGTAAATATTAATCTTCAGATTTTCAATTTAACATGTATTGACTTACAAAATGTTCTAATAATAACCCTAATTATTTTCTAAGTCACCATTTAAAGGTTTATTTACAGTTGACCTGATCAAATTAAAATTGATGAAAGCCTCAACTATTTTTTTAACTCTTTCTGGTCAACTGCCTGAAGGCAGGTGAAATATGTATGACAACTAATAGATAAACTAATCTATTTTCTGTTAGTGTATTAATAATATATATTGTGTGAATGACGGTGTATGAAAGTTGGCAATGAAAGCTAATACAATTATGTTGGCTGGCTGGATATAATAAGGATCAAGAAAGGAATAATAGCATTTACATTTTAAATGTAGTTGATATTATTTTCGAAGAGTGGGATAAGCCCTTAAGAAAAATGGGAGGTGTTTAAGGCTGTGATTTGGCACACATAGTAAAGTATAATTCTATTGGTAATTTTTCAAGCAAATCAAGGCAGGCAGTGTGTATTCCATTCTGAGATTTTTTCATATTATGCTCACTTCTACTGTCTCAGAATTTAATTGAAAAGGATGTGTGCCTGTGTGTGTGGTTTTTTTTTTATGTGTGTGATTAGGAATGTTGAGAAATGTATCTGAAGCAATGTAAAAATAAGAGTCTCATAATGCCTGGTTAGTGCTGGTGTATTCTTGTCACTTGCCAAGTGACTGTTGGGCAATAAGACTAGAAAATATGGTACTCAATGAAAAAAGAAATATCTTATTTGCTATAACAATCTAATTTATATTAGGATAAGGATTTTGGTGACTAAGGAAAGAACGTTTAGTTGAATTATGTGTATAGTTGTCACAGGTTTTTGTGTAGATTTAATCTCATTGTTAACACAGAATATAGAATGTGCATAATTTGTTATGAAATGTTACTGGGCTTTGGTATCAGTGTGGTATACCAGAAGTTACTGCTGGTCTTCGGTTATAAAATCTAGGTCAGAAGCTCAGTTTCACCATATTTTTGCTGTGCCCTAGATGCCATTATAATTCTCTGAATTTTTATAGCTTCATGATTAAAATTGAGTTAATGACTATCCTGTTTCAGAGGCTTGTGAATGATTAAGTGAAAGACTGTGTAAATTGTAAAACACTATAAAAATATAAAGCTTTATTATGGGAAATTATGTAAAAAGTTGATTATTGTTATATGGTAAACAGAAAATTTCTGTTTGGAGAAATATACATTAAGGAAAAATACATGCAATTTGGTATTCTAAATTGGGAAAGAATATTCAAAGAGATAATTGTCATAACTAACTGAAGCTACTCAAATACAGTCATAAGATCTTAAAAGATTGAAGTTTAACTCAACCTAATTCAATCATTCATATGAATTACTGATATCCACATGTGCATAGGATTATAAATAAAAGAAGAAATTTTTCCCATTTATGATGCTGACTGAGTGGAAGATTAAGGCCTTTAGATAATGCCAGCCTCATTGCTGAACACAAACACTGGAATAGAGAAAATAAAAAGACAATAATGAGGATAAGTTAGGTGGCCTTCCAGACATCGAGAGTAGATAAAGAAAATGAAGTTCTAGAGAATGCAATATTTTCTTAAGTCACAGTGACATATGTGTAATTAATAATTTATACACTTGAAAAAATTAGAATGCAATGATATTGGCTTAACACGAAAATAATCCTGAATGCAATGTACTCTTGTTTTGATGACTCAAAATCACTTCTTATATCTCACAATAGCTCATCTTAACCTCTTATATTTGAAGAAACTCTAGGAAACAAAAAAGTAATATACAGTGGATACTACTTTTTGTCAGTGATGCCATATTCGTAAGATAAATGTTAATAAGCTCTGTTTGCAACTTTATTAGTTATCTGGTTATTATATGCTCATGTGAACAGACACTAGAAACAAATACATTAGTAACTATGTAACTAATGAAAATGTTGCAAAATACAGCATACTTTCATTCAAAAACTTAGACTTTTGCATTTTCATTTTATTAATGATTATAGTTATTAATGATTAATGCAAATGGTTTATTATAATGATTAGTTATAATCATTTTATTAATGATTATAACTATTAATGATTAATGTTAATGGTTTGTATTTTTATAAGCAGGAAAAAATATATGAATCACTACCCTACTGCTTCATATTCTATTTTTGTGAGTATAAACACTATGTTTTTGTATATTAAGATCTGGAATATGACCAATACTTTAAGACCAATCAACTTTTTAAAACCGTAGATACCTATATAGCAATTTCATTTTACATGCAGTAATTTTAAATACCCAAAAATAAAAGGAAAAATAACTACACATCTTATATATAATACATATTATGTATTTGTCTTTGAATTGTGTGTGTATGTATATATATTTGTAAAGAGAAAGTGCACACATATATACACACATGCAGGAACACACACAATTTGAGGTGAAATGTTGAAGTAAAGCAAATGGCTTTTAAATATTTTGGTTTTAGTTTTTAAGATGTGTATTAAATCCAACCTCTACAATTATATGAAAATACTGAAAAAAATGCACATTTATAAAGCTTCTCTTTACTACAGATTTCAGAATTTTTTTCTCAAATTTAGAGGAATGAACAGTTCACATAAGTAAAACACACAACATTATTTTCAATGAAACTGTAATTATTTATGTTTATGAGATTCCATTACAATTACATTAAAAAGAAATCCACTTTTGTAATGTTTTTGCTTATATAAGAGTAACTTGTATAAATATATAGATATAAAAGAGTCTTAAAAATGTTAATTCAATTGACCGCAGAATTGATCCTGAAAATCCAGTTCACTTAGCCTTGGAAATGAGACATGAAGCATAAAACCTGAGGTCAAGATGTATGTCAGAACCAGAGTAGATTATTTTCGTTCAACTGAAGTGCTATCTTTTAGGCAAATAGACTCCTACAATATTCAGTATTTGAGATGTTTAAAATAAATGTAAGAAATAGAGTACTGTTTCAGAATTAACAAGTGCAGAGCTGTATACAAAGTGTACTCTGAACTGGAATGAAGTGTAGGAAAACAAGCTGTGAGAATACGAGAGCTCAGTGTATTCTTGTGTTTTCTTGCGTGTTCTGCTGTTTTAAAAAATTTTTTTTTAATTGTCACAGAGTAAGGTATATAGAATAAAACAATTTCCACAATTCTTGGTACCTCAAAAGACTTGAGACACAGCAATGAATACTTCTGTTGTCATCATCGAAAGCTGTGATGGTGGTGCCAACCTGGTTTCCAACTTATACCTCCTGACAATTCGGTACAGAAAATGAGTATCATTGTAATTAAAATTTAAAATTTTCTTCTAAGTGACTGATTTTTTAATGTAAAATATTATAATAAATTTTGTATAGATATATAATTTTAAGTTCCAGAACATTCTAACATATACCTGATTTCAATTTTCTTATAAATCTGTGACTGACCCAAGCTAGGTATTGTTAGGTTTTTTTAAGGAGAAACTTTGATGCCTGAAATAACTGTAACTCATGCCAAAAAAACACATAAAGTAAATGTGAAGAAGAAAGAAGAAGAAGATAAGAAGAAGAGGAAAGAAGAAGAAGAAGAAGAAGAAGAAGAAGAAGAAGGAGAAGGAGAAGGAGAAGGAGAAGGAGAAGGAGAAGGAGAAG